CCTGTATATATTATGTTATGACATGGACTTGTGCCACTGTGTAGTAGTATGAAGAATGATCCATTGTGGGAACAGAATTCCGTGAAAGACCTATATGCAACCAGTGTAAACTTGAGCTACAAGGAATAGTAGCAAGTATGAAATCTTAGAGAAAAACGTCATCAGCTACAAACTGAATTATCAGTAGAGATTTGGATCCAGGTAAGACAAAATCACTGCTTATTTTTGCTGAGTTATGGTCAAATAGAGTTTTATTAATCCTTGTTTTTAGTTGAAGCAAAAAAAAAAAAAAAAAAAAAAATATATATATATATATATATATATATATATATATATATATATATATATATATATATATATATATACACATACTATCAACAGCATCAAATTCAACACCAATGACTCCAAGGGTGCCTCAAAGCAGTGTTGCAACTGCCACAAGTTTTTCAAAGTTTAAAGCAACAATTTTGGACACATTTGTTACAAAGACAACTCTTTATGAAAAGCAAACCTTGATGAAAAAGTCGTTTTTCATCTGGATTGGTAGAACATCCTCAGTTTTGTAAAATGGTTGGGAAGTTGAGGCCAGGAGACACTCCTCCAGCAAGAAAAGCAATTGCAGACAAATTCATATACATGGGATACGAAAAAGAATATGCCCACAGAGTCCCACAGAGATGAAGGATAAAACTGTATGTCAGTCTTTCGATGGCTGGTCTAATATTCACAACAAACCTATTGTATTGGTATTGTAAAAAAAAAAAAATCAAATGGCCATATATATCTAGTAGTTAAAATAGTTACACGTGGCCAACCTCATACAGCTGAATATCTAGAAGAGCTCTCAAAATCAGCAATTTGAAAGTGTAAAGAACCTGTTTGCTGTTGTGCAGATAATGTAAAGACATTGAAACTGTTAGAACAGGGAAGTGACCTGAAGCTGTTGGCCTATATCTGTATTGCACACATTGGAAATTGGCAATGTTAAAGAACATGTGGTGCATATAGTAAAATACTTTAGAAACAATCACTGTGTTTCCGCAAGATACCGCTAGGAAAGTGGGCAACATCTTGTTATGCCTCAGGACTCATGTGTTGATGTGGCTAAAAGTGAACTGGCCAGGTATCATGAAAATTTGTGAAGTTAACAGGAATGAAGTTGATGTCAGAGTTAGAAAGGTGTCTAACTTTACACTGAAGCAATCAGCAGAGAACCTACTTGCACAACTAAGACCAATAGCTGTGGCTTTGGACAAAGTACAGAGTGATGTACACCTGCTGAAGCAGATAACACATGGAAAGAATTAATCACAACTTTATGCAATGACAGAGTCACAACACAAGTTCGTCTTCTTGCGAACTTGATTCATTCTTCCTTTTAAGGAAAACTACTTAGTACAGAAGTGAAAATCAATGGACTATACCAATGAAAAGTTTCCTTTAATTGTCCCAAACATCATAAAATTTCAAGCCAAATATTTATGTGAATTGTTGAACGGTGAAGGTCACATTCAAATGTGTTGGATAGTGATGTAATTTCAGCAGCACAAGTGCTGTCTACAATGTCATCTTCATCACGCTATGATATTATACATTTAAAAATAAGGAATCGGCTGGGGGAAGAATTAAAAAACAAAAAAAAAACAAAAACGGTAAAACTGGTGTTTTTGTATAAAATAATATAAGTGTATGTGATAATACTAATAATCAGGATGCATAAACAAACCAACTTTATTATAAAAAAAAAAAATTAAAAAACTATTTCTTTAAGATTTTAATATTAATTTCAAAGAATATATATATATATATATTTTTTTTTTTTTTTTTTTTTTTTTTTTTTTTTTTGTGAACTACTTTTTAACCCATTCCCGCCGGGCATGCCATGCCATGGCCACTGTGAGATTACTTGTTGGATTGTTTTTACACATAGATGGCTACACTTGCACTAAATCACCAATGAGCCAGTTACGAGTACCGGCTGTCTCGCCCGTTCACCCTTTTCTTTAATTTACGAAATATTTTACGTTATCTTATTTTGCTGTTACTAATCTTAAAAAAACATTATAAAAATTATAATGTTTATAATAAAAATAACACCATCGATATTCATGGCTCTAGTGAAAAATTCGTATTCAAATCAGGCATTAACAGAGCCATCTATGGGCAGACTATTCACAAAAAAATATAGAAAATAGGCTCAGCATTTTCCCCATTTTTTGTTCATATTCCCCGGCGGCAATGGGTTAAAAGAAGGGTATAATATTTTTTCAAAGAAGACTGCTTTTCCAGTATAAATCCAATGTGCTTTTGTTTTAAATGCCAGCTGTACTATTTTTTTCTTTTTTTAATTCATTATCTCAGGATATAAGTACAGCTCATTATAAGTAAAACTTTTTTATTTTCTTTTTGATAGCATGTGATTTTTTTTTTTTTTTTTATTGTAAAAAGGAAGTGCTTTAGTCTTCTATTCCTTGAATACAAGTACATTAAAAGATAGTTGAGGTGTGTCAACATGATCCTTGCATCACTCCACAGCAAGATGGTAGCCTGATAATTGAGGTTTCGTCACCAGATGAGAGTGACCATATGCATGTGACATACAATATTCCTGGGGCTTAAGTCTCATGTTCTCACAAAACACTCAATCAGTGTAAGGGAAGTCTTTTTCCAAGACCTGATGAGGTATTCTGAGAGAAACTGTTAGAGGAACTCAAGAATTTTAATGTAATAGCAGTAAAATGTTTTGAGAAAGTTGATGGTTTGGAATAGTCGACACCAGTTCTCATTATATTTTTGAAATGTAAGTAATTCTAGAATCAGTCAAGTTGGCATGGTCCCTCCTCAAGGTAAAACCATATGTGCCCAACCCTATGCAGTGCTTGGGCATGGAGTGTAAAAGGCTATCGAGAACCTTTGTACAATGGTTTGCGGGGGTAGTCATAGCTGTTTAAAACGGCTTGACTCTTTCTTGAAGAAGAGTTCTACACAGTAAGGGGAACATGCCCTATGGTACGCACTGAGAGTGGTATCATGGGTCCGCCAAACAGCCTTGTGGGGACGGAAGGCCGGACTGACTTCATCACGTCGGCCGCTGATCACGAACTGATAATAGGTCAGATTAGGTCAGATATCATCCTCGTTGAGGTGCTGATTTTTTCACTGGACTTCAAGCCACGTGGCAAACAACCACGTGGTCTATATCTAATGGCTTACACAAATTGTGCTTATGTACACAGTCTATTGCTTGGCCACCTACTCACGCCTTGCCTCAAGGCACCTTAGATTTGCCTCAAGGGTGACCCAACATTGGCTGGAACTGATTGGTAAGTCATCTCACTCTAGTGTGCATTGACCTTGTCCCGTCGGCCGCTGGTTATGAACTGATAGGTCAGACGAGGTCAGATATACTCATCATCTAAGTCCTCACTGAGACGGTAATTCTTTACTGGCCTTCGAGCCTTGTGGCAAGCAGCCACGTGGTCTATGTCTAATGGCTTACACAAATCGTGTTTATGTTCACGGCCACCTACCCAGGCCTCGCCCTCGAGGCGCCTTAAATTTGCCTCAATGGTGACCCAACTTTGGCTGGAATTGGCTGATCATCTTGCTCTCGTGTGCATTGTCCTTGGTGCATTCCCATGGCTACGCGTCCTTGTCGTCCTCATCTTCCTGGTCCTTGGTGTAATCCATCCATCTTCGACGTCCATACGTCCTCGAAGGTCTCGCACAGGTCCTCGACTTTGGACTCGTCCAGCCTTCCTCGTAGCCTTTCTCCAGGCCTAAATCAGCGGCGTACTCGCCCAACTCGTCCTCGTAGATCTCGTCCAGTTCCTTCTCGGCTGCGTGCTCGTCCAGACGTCTTCGTAATCTTCGTCAGGATCTACAGGCGTCCAGGCAGGAGGCTGGCGATCCACAAGGACCTGGCTTGAACTACCAACCATCTCTGATAGATATGAGAGTAGATAAGGGAAACGAGAATGGCAACCTGCAAGGATTTATTTGAATGTACGCACTAATAAATGGTGACGTGAATAATATTTGCAAGCTTTCTTGCAAGCAAATCATCTAGGCGTCAGCAAATCAGAACTGCAGAGGTAGCCATGTATAGCTATGCATGTTAGTCTTCATCGATGGGGGATCTCCTATGCCAAAAAAAAAATGTACTGAATGAAGTAAACGAGCCAGGAAAATTTATAAATAACCCACTCTCAATCACAAATCACACGATCGCTTGGGATTTACCCGAAACATGCAAGCGACTTCTAGATGGTGAAAAAGGAGTGATTAATAAGCGAATAACGATTCTAGCTTAAACCCTAGTCCTACATTAATTAACAAACGTAACTGCGGGTCAAACTGACTCAAAAGTTATCGATTGTACGAATAACTTTTATGGTTTTATCTGCACCTACCTATTAGAGCGTAGATCTAATAGGTTATATCAGGCATCCTGTGCACTATGATATGGGGAAAATCCTAACACTACACTCAAAATAATGAATTTATATAAAACCAACAAGTAGGAGTTATATTAACAAAACTAAGAATCGGGCACACAAGACTCATGTGCTGATGTGGCTAAAAGTGAAGCACGCTGTGAGGTATGCCAAGAGCCATTAACGGTCGCACATGTAGAGGAAAGATGGGCAACATTCTTAGACCAAAGATGTATGTACTTGTCTTTCTCATATACACTGAAAAATATAGAACAAAGAAGATCGTATTAGTTTCCTTAGGGAGACTAATATTTTCAGTAAAATTCAGTTATGCATAGTGTTTATGCAATAATTTTATAGATTTAGAGCATAATATATATATGCTTTGATTTTTAATATAATATTTATTGTTATTTATAAGACATTTATTGATAATTTTTTAACATTTTAAATATTTTAACATGTCAGTCTAACAAGGTATTCGTCGCTAATGACCTTAGAAAATTGTAAATAATCAGTCAGTCATCCTTCTTTGGCGTGGACAGCAGCAAACATCAAGGCATGATGACTTTGCTCTGCACAGCAGACGAGGTGCTTGCACTTACCCTTTTAAGATATGTCAGAGGCCACTTAATGATCAGAGACAGGGAAAAGTTTATATAAAGAGTACTGCTGAAATAGCAAACCTATATACTGGGGAATTTCTAGCCTTTTTCTTGGCTTTACCTGAGAATGATCCCTTCCATCAGGTTGTCTCCTCAAAAGGTCGCCCTTGCTTGTAAATATGAACTCTTTTCGGGACACATTTTCCTTTTTCGCAGGAGGAAGAAGACGGTGACTTTAAACCTCGCTCTTATCAACTAGAACTGCTCAACCATGTTAAGAATAGGAATTCAATACTCGCCCTCGGAGCTGGGTCAGGCAAGACGTTCATCGCAATCCTCCTGATTAAAGAATTGGGGCATCAAGTGAGTTGTAGAAATTGGTAAGGTTCAACAAAATGTCAGGATCAAAGGGAGAAGATATATTTGG